GCTCGCTGCGAAAGACAGAGCAGTGATCATGACGATGGAACTACAATCAAAAATATATACATTTATTTACAAATTCCATATTATTAGGGTGGCGCCCTTCACAGAATTAAAAATACAAAATTATCTTCATCGAAGCCGAAGCTTTACATCCGGCGTTCAGTGGCAGACTACTATTTCATATTGTTTTACAACACATGGCTTTAGCCCTCTGGTGGGAAAGACTTTAAAACAAAACTTAAACTTAGACTTTAAAACTAAAAAAACTCAACAACTGAAATTTAGAATAGTGTGATTAAACAAAATATGTGAACTGTTTGCAATTTTAAATTAATATTGAAATCTACGGGTTTAGAATTTTCTACAGTGAAAAGTTTTCGGAACTTCAGTATTCAAAAAAGTATATAAAAGCTAGACGTTAAGAACGTATCCAATGAGCGAGTAAAGCGAACATTGGATTGCGAAGCAATCAGAAATAAACTGCGAAAGCAGTTCCGGGGGTTGGCGAGCGCCAGCGAGCAGGATGCGAAGACTCTTAGTTTAATTAAAAGTCATAAATAAGTTGACTAGAAAGTGTGAATCTATCAACTATTTGCAGTTTTCTTTAAACTATTATTTATCAGCGATTGACAAATCGGAGAATTTTGTTTTGTTTATGTATCATAAACCATAATTATATCACAATGTGACATACCCTAAGCCATAATCATTATTTAAATTCTCCAGAAATTTAAGCATTTCCGGGCATATTCTTTAACTTAAGGTTTTAAAAGAAATAGTCAATTGAAAATTATAGCAGACAACAACTATTATAAATGAATGTCTTTTCATTTTAAATTTCTTATACTGCTTTAAAATTGCTGTGTAAGTTTTTCTGAAAAACTATTTAAATGTGGACACATAGAAACTATATTCTAAGGACAAGTTCATTAGAAAGAATTTTATTTCTTTTTTAAACTTTCATATTTCTTTTTTAGCTTTCATTTATAGGCTGAATAAGATTAATTTCAAATATTTAATAACATAATAATTCCGTTTCAAAAATTTTTTTAGAAAATGGAAGTACATCATTTAAATAACTAATTTAAATAATATTGTAGTATTAATAGTAGTACAAATTTTAATAAATGTTAAATAATACAAGCTTAAAAGACTTTTGGGATTCGTCATAACTGGTACAAAATCTTTTCCTTTCTGTCAAACATTTCTTTAATAATTTATTGGATTTTCACAGAATTCTGTTTGATATTCTTATTTGTATATTTTTATTTATATTTTCTCGTGTAACGTGGTAAATTTTCTCTAAAATGATATTAATTCTTATTTGATAAAAGAAACTTTTTGCAAAAAAAAATCTTCGAAAACTTAAGTACCTGACAATATTTGGTCATTTCTAGCTTTAGAGAGAATAATTTTAAAAATTGAGGACAAAAGATATTTTCTCAAAGTACAACGTATAGTTTTTTAAGCATAATTCTTGATGTTTTTTTATGTTTAAATATAAGAATCTCGAGTTAGATAAAAATGGCGACAGATGCGATTTCCTTAGGCCAAAAATATCCTGAGTTTTGTAGGGGTAGTATCAGCGTTCGGTTTGATTTTGAAAAGGCGGTGAAACTATAGGATATGGAAAAGTTTTGAAGTACAAAAGATAAGTTTCAGTAAAACATTTCGTGTGATGTGTGGTGCATAGGGGGGAATTAAAACATAACGGCTAGCTAACTTTTATTTTATTTTAAACAATGTGACTATAGTTAGCACTCAGCACATTCACAAACATAACATATAAAACACATATGAAGAAGCAAAAAATAAGGAGCTCTGCATGCTTTCTGCCGTTCGTTCACACTCTCTCACTGTCTCTCTGTCTCTAAGTTATTATCTAGTTTCTCGCTAGGGGGCGTTGCTAGTTCCAGTTTCTCGAAATTTGTACTTTCATATGAATTTAAGTAAAATCTAAGAAAAGTATCATCTTTTATAAAGAAAATAAATTGAAGGTCATTCAAGATTTTTTTCTTTGCCTAAGATAGTTTTTGTGACTTTGGAAAATTTATGGCTATGTAGGTTCCCAAAAGTTCATCAGACCGAGCTGAACTGACAATTCCAAGTTTTCTGTCGATTGGAATATCGAGCATTCGTAAAGCAGGACTCGGAATATGGACAGAAATCCCATTGCCTATAGGAACAGTGTTTGGTCCTTACAAGGGAAAAATTATTAGAACGAGAAAAGAGGCAGAAAAATCTGGCTATTCTTGGATGGTAGTTACTTTTTTTTTTTAATTTTTCAAATTAGATGCTTTTTGCAATTGTGATTGTAATTTTTTAAATATATATTTTAGCGTATTTTTTCTAGTTAAAATTTAATGAGTGAAAGTTATAATATTCAATTGATAATGTTAATTTAATTTTTGTTTAGGTATGGAAGGGAGGTAGAGTGGATCATTATATTGAAGGGTTCAAAAAGGATATTTCCAACTGGTTGAGATTCGTGAATTGTGCTGATAAGGAAGAGAAACAAAATTTGGTGGCAATCCAGTACAAGAAACAGATCTATTACAAGACTTACAGAGAAGTGTTACCATTTCAAGAGCTTCTGGTGTGGTATGGGGGAAAATATGCAGCTGATCTTGGAATCAGCTTGAAAAGGGACATTGAAATCAATCAATTAAGTATGACTGATGAAATCTATGTCTTATAAGTTAAGATGATTAAAAATAGTAGTTTTGCAGAAATTTTTATATTTTAGAATTTGTTTGGGCGAAGTATTTGATGAGATAAAATTAAAGTGTTTCCGTGTTTTGATAATACCATAAAGTTTTCGATCTTAAGTCAAACTATCATTGTTTCTTAACGAATTTTTGGTTTTAAGTTTTATTCATATACCATTGTGCTGATTAATTTATGATTTACGCTTCGTTAATATTTTTTATATTTAACAAGATTTTGATGTTACCATATTATTCTTTTTTTTTCACCAGACACGAGCAACGTATGTTCAGCTAGTTAAAAGATAAATAAAGTAAATCGATAAATAGATATTTTTCATATTAAATATACATAATTTCTTTTTTATGAATATATTTATTTAGGATAATTGATTTATTAAGTCTATCAATTATCCTAAAAAAATGTTTTGTGTGGGTTTTTTTAAGAAAAACAAGTAGTTTTAGAATTTTTTATGTGCAAATAAACTATTATGTCCGCATCGTTTTAGTAAAATAAAGAAATATGCGAAAAGTAACATTAACTATGATGAAACAAATTTTAACGTCTTTTCTTGCTGAATCAGTAGTATCATATCATCCGTATTGCATCAAAATTGCACTAGCATCATATTTTCCATATTGCATCTAAGCCCATATTAAGGTAAAATATCTGAATTAATTTAATAGGGTATGTTTATAGATGGAAAACAATTTTTGTAATTGACTTTATAGCTTAAAATCATCGTGCTTGGACAAATTGATGAGAGTATTTCAGTTAACTCTTGTAGGATTACATCCTAACAGATTAATATTTTTTCATTCAATCAATAATTATCAAGTTGTCCTGTATTTTTATTCTGTATGTAATTATTCTGTCGCGGCTGTTTTTAATGCGTAGAGTTATAACTATTATATGTTTAACTTTTTTCATAGAATAGAAATTATTTAGATTTTTGCTTATTGCGCGTCATCGCTAATGTCTCTCTAGTTACTTTCGATTTCGACTTATTCCGACTCTCCTCTTTTTTTTTGATTCCATTACAAAAAAACTTTTGAATCGTATTAATGTCAAATTATTCATAATTTTTCATTTTGTTAAAACTATTTTTATAAAGAATGTTAATCAGTAATATTTTCTATAAAAATGGATTTAATAAAAATTACACAATTTATCAGAATCATATAATTTTTTTCTCATTAAAAGAGTTAAAAATTTCCTATGAATAAAAAATGAGAAAGATGTTTCTTTTCTTATTAAAAGTAATATATAGTTATATTTTTTTCAACAAATATTCATCAAAAATTGCTGCCAATAGTATACTGCATGTGTGATTCATGTTGCTACATACAATGCTAATTTTGTTTTTTCCACAACAAGCAGGTAGATCCGAGTTAAAAATAGTTTATTTTATAGGTGTAAAAGGTGTGGCATGCGATGTCTGCAGTTCATTGTTCACATCCGTGAATGCCATGGAGCGACACAGAAGGAAACATCCCCATCAGGGTCATGATAAAAAACACCGATGTCCCCACTGTGTCTACTCCACCAACATATCAGGTGATCTCCGGAAACACCTCACTACTCACACGGGTGAGAGGAGACACGGATGTCCCCACTGCCACAAGACATTCACTCTGGAAGAAAATCTCAGGAGACACCTGAAGGTCCACAGTGGAGAGAGACCCTTCTCTTGTGGAGTGTGCGGAAGAGATTTTAATCAAAAAGGACACTTGGAGAGTCACGTGAGAAGTCACAGCGGCATCAGACCTTACAGATGTTCCACCTGCGGAAGAGATTTCACCCGATCTTCAGATCTTCACGCTCACATAAGAATTCACACACTGCAGAAACCCTACAAGTGCTCCGTCTGCCAATACAGGACCACCACATCTTCAGATCTTAATAGACACATTATTCAAAGGCACACGAAACAGTTCCCCCATAAGTGTCACCTGTGTGAAAGAGGTTTTCTTCTACCGAGTCATCTTAAACGACACATAGACCGCATACATCCTCAATACAAGTAAATAAATGAAGAACTGCACATAATGTCAAATTACCTTTATAAGGAATGAGAGATTTAGATAATCTCCTTTTGCAGTTAGAATAAAAAATTGTATGAAGAAAGTATAGCAGAGGGACATTTATAATTAGAGCCTATTTTTCTTAATATTTGAAATACACTGATGGCAAAATCTATGGGAGTCAGCTTAAAAAAACAACAATAAATTTGGAGACAGATACTTTGTTTTCCTTCATATTATTTACTTCTCATACAAAAATAAATGTTTTTTTTTCACCATCACTTTCCACTCATCCATTTTTATTATAATTCTTAATTTTAATTTTTAAATCTATATTGATGTACAGTTCCTGGCCAAATGATTAGACTCATTATAAGATTCTTCGTAAAATCTTAATTCTCAGGTCATACTCTACAGCTTTATTGTTTTTACGCGGCTGAAACCGGTTTGCACTTGTTGACGTTTGTGTATCAATTGGTAAACAGAGTAATGCAATTTGTTAAAAATAAATAAAAATATGACGGATATAAACGATCTCCTATCCCAGTAAATAAAAAATCTAATCCAATAAGAAGAATAAAAACCCATTACATGCATGTTTAAATATAAAAGTATTGCATATAAACTCTTGCAAAACATGTAATTATTGAAAAACAACAGTGCGTCTAATAATTTAGTCTAATTATTATAATATACTAATATAATACCTGGTATCATAAATACTCTTTATTTATACTATATATTGTCTAATTTATCCAAAAGTGGAATTTATATTATATACTAGCCGCCTAAGGCGGCCAGCTGTCCGCCACGCTAAAGGTTTCCACAAATAAAGTTTTTTAAAACATAGCAGGAAACCTGAGGATTAGTGGACAATTAAAGTGTTTCTGTCCTACAATTTTGTCTTCATATCCAGTTCTGCTGCAGATGTGTTATAGCTCTTGAGGATGTTTGAAGATGTAACTTTGCTATGGTAACCTAACCTATAATATAACTATCAGGTGGAGACTTGTTTTTTTTTCTTAAAAAAAGGCCTCAGAAATTGTAAAAGCATACAAAAGTTGCTTTAAATACATGAAAAGAACACGAAAACGAATTAATTTTTTATGGTATCTATTTCTCTATAATTTTTTTATGGTATCAATTTCTATTTCTATATCGCTACAAAAATTAACGTCGGGTAGACTATATTTGAGGGTGCCCCTTGATTCTCGCCAAGTTGTGATCGCGGTTGATCGCCAAGCTGGGCGATGTTGAAACCCAATCGTGATTCTCAACGGTTTAGATTTTAGCGTTATTA